CCAATCTTCAGTGTCCTTTCAGAAATCATTCTAATATGCTGATTTGATGCTCAAGAAGCACTTCTTATTATTATCAATGTTGAAAACAGTTGTGCTGCTTAATACTTTTGTGGAAACTATGATACATTTTTAAGGATTCTTTGATGAATAAAGTTAAAAAGAACAGCATTTATTTGAAATAAATATCTTTTGTAAGATTATAGATGTCTTTTCTGTCACTTTTGATTAATTTAATGCATCCTTGCTGAAAGAAAGCATTCATTTCATAAAAAAAAAAAACTCTTCCTACCAAACTTTTGATCAGTACTGTGAATGTGAAATCTCAATCTACAGGATAACGTTGTTGGCAAGAGGTAACATTAACACTGAGTATCTAAGGTTGGTGTCTGTGTCCTCGATGGCCTCGTTTTGCCTTGAGTAGAGACCACCATGAGAAACTGCAGTGTGGTGCTTCATTTAAATGAACTCTGCATCAGAGTGTGATTGCCCTGACACCTCAGTCCAACCCACTCAGCTTCACAGACGCCAGCACCTCTGATTTCTCAAACACTGCTGTGAATATTAGAGCAGAGTCACACTCAAACTTCACCTTCTTTCTGTTATTTTTCGGGAAGCATCTTGATGTCTGTATTTTTAAGTATCAGCTGTGCATGAACAAAGAGGAAGAGAAACAGTGTTAACAGAAACAATGAATCAAGAAACTCTCTGTGTGATGTTAGTTTTAATGGAGAACCTACAAAATCAGGTTTATTGTGTCCAAAACCTTCCTAGTGTGAAGACTAATAATAAATCAAACAAAAAACATAACAAAATAGCAGTGCGAGTTTGTGTTTTTGTACATTTATCATGATAATATAATTTATTCTTTGACTTCTATGCAAATACCATGGTATATGAATATGGGAACCTATGATGTATATATATGAGGGATTCCCAAACATTTTTATCAACCAAACCTCTTTGACCTAAAATAATTATTTCAATTGTGAGATTTTTTGTTAATGTTTCAGTGATTAAACAACACATTTGCATGGTTCTCAGATGCTGATTAATGCAGGCAAGTGAATCATATATTTAATATTTTATTATTATATTTAATATTAAGTGTTTTCTTTTGATTGCTTTTATTTTAATATTACTTATTTTTAATTGCACATTTATGCTTTTTGTTATTACATGTAATTATTTATTAAATAAATTAATGAATAATTAAATTAAATAATTTAATTACATAATTTAATTAATAAATCAATATAATTATTAATTATTAGCTTTTCAGTTCCCTCATAAACCCCAGTCTTGTGTCAATTTCAAAATCTACAGACAGCATAGTCAATAGATAATAAATGTTTTTAGTTTGTGTGTGTGCACATTTTGAGTAAATGTTGTGTAAACTAATTTTAATTTCATAAATGTGTAAATCTCACCTGTTGTCAGAAACAAAATGCACTTTGCAGGACTATATATTGGCTTTATATTGGAAAATTGCCGCCTGCCTTCTTGATATGAATATCAGCTATAAAACCTCTAGCTCCACAACAGTAAAGCAACCTACATAGCCCATAAAACAAAAAACTGTCACATTTCCATCACACAGAAGTCACATCCCACAGATGAACACGTTCAGTTTAATCAGGCACTTTGCAGCAGCACGAGAGTATGAGTGGCTATAAATTGTACTTGTGTTCCTGTGAGAAGCCAAATTTATAACTGCCCCATTGATTCCCCAGAGGAGAACCAGCCACCTTCTCATTGAAAAGCCACTGCAGCGGAGCCCGAGCTTGCAGCTGGCCACACACTCACACCGCTCAGAGACTGCATCTCCTTCACCAAAACACAAATGCTTTCACTGAGCAAAGACGGACTGTATGTCAACTGAGCAGAGCAAGCCATCTGCATACTAACTACAAAAGATCCACGTCATGCAGCAAGATCAAGCACCTTGTGCTCAGATGATTCCAAGCTCTTCATGAAATCAGTTCTTTTTTTTAATCCAATATTTGGATTACAGTGAGTTCAACGATATTGGTGAGACAAAAGCCCTATTCGCACGGGATTAAGATCACAGACAACCTCCACAATTATTACAAATGACTGGAGGTCACCAGGTAATACTAATCCCGTGCGAATAGGGCTAAAGATGACGTGTTTTATTCAAAACAATTAAAACTAATTCCTTGAAGCACACAATTTCATTTGATACTATTCATCACTCAGTCAATGGTCTAACAAGCACCTATTTAAAGGCGTCATCTGAGACCAGCAGAACCAGTTCATTAAGACATTTATTAGAGAATTAGGCAGCTCTTAATAGAGAAAAACTTAACTAGAGAGCAGAGTCGTGATCAGCAAAATTATTTCAAATGGTTACGAATAAGTTTGAATGCATTTCAGACATAGCTGAGATTGTTTAAATGTTTGGGGAGTCTCTTATGCTCACTACTGCATTTATTTGATCAAAAATACTGTAAAAACATTAATATTGTGAAAAATTATTACAATATTATTTCTGTTTTATATACTTTAAAATTCAATATATTCCTATGATGCAAAGCAGACTTCTCAGCAGCCATTATTCCAGTTTTCACTGTCACGTGATCCTTCAGAAATTATTTTAATATGCTGATTTGGTGCTCGGTTTTTAATATTGGTTCTTGACCAGTGTTGAAAAGATTTTAATGCTTAATAATTTTGTGGAAACATGATACATTTTTCAGGATTTTTTTGATGAATATGAATTTCAAAAGAACAGCATTTATTTGAAATATTTTGTAACAAATGTCTTAACTGTCACTTTTGATCAATTTAATGTGTCCTTGCTGAATAAAAGTATTAATTTTATTTTATTTTGATCAAATAAATACAGCCTTGGTGAACAGTCTTCTTTTTAAAAAAGCTGTGTGTATAAATGTGTGTGTTAGGGCTGTGCGATATTGAAGAAAAATGCGATATGCGATAACTCATTAAATAATGCGATATTCGATATTCGATATGCGATACGATAATGCTTAAAGTGCCACATGCTCAGATGAAACTGTTTTACTCAGCTGTTGCCGAGTCAGTTCTGTGAACTTCTATAAATATCCAGAAGGAATCTGCTGGAACATTAAAAATGATGGACTGGCCCCCTCAAAGTCAGGACCTCAACCCCATCAAGCAAATTTGGGGCGAGTTGGAAAATAAACTGTACAGATCTTTTGTACATTCAAAGGAAAGCCTTTGGCTTGAGTTGCAGAAGGCATGGGGTAACATTAGTGTTGAAGTTCTCAGGAAATATATCGACACTATGCCAGAGAGATGTGCAGCTGTAATTGCTGCAAAAGGTGGACATACCAAATATTAAAGTCAAAGTGGATAAGCACAGTACGACTCACTTCATCTGATATTTATTGTGCTCAGAGCAACCATCTGCATGTTTTATGAACTTTATGAAATGAAATCATGTTTTGGAGGCAAAAAGGTCAATATTTTCAGATCTGTCAGGTGTGCTAATAATTTTGTCCACCACTGTAATTATGTAAGTATCTATCTATCTATATATATATATATATAGATAGATAGATACTTACATAATTACAGTGGTGGACAAAATTATTAGCACACCTGACAGATCTGAAAATATTGACCTTTTTGCCTCCAAAACATGATTTCATTTCATAATGTTCATGAAACATGCAGATGTTTGCTCTGCCTCTGAGCACAACAAATATCAGATGAAGTGAGTCGTACTGTTTTTATTTAGACTTTTTGTTATTTGGTATGTCCACCTTTTGCAGCAATTACAGCTGCACATCTCTCTGGCATAGTGTCGATATATTTCCTGAGAACTTCAACACTAATGTTACCCCATGCCTTCTGCAACTCAAGCCAAAGGCTTTCCTTTGAATGTACAATAGATCTGTCCAGTTTATTTTCCAACTCGCCCCAAATTAGCTCGATGGGGTTGAGGTCCGGACTTTGAGGGGGCCAGTCCATCATTTTTAATGTTCCAGCAGATTCCTTCTGTCACAGGTAGTTCAGACAATAGTTCGTTTTATGGGTATTGTAATGGCCAATTCAACAAAAACAACTGAATCCTCTTAAATATGCCAAGTGTTCTAATTATTTTGGCCACCACTGTGAGTAAATATACATACACATACAATACATACATACATACATACACTTTGAGGGAGCCAGTCCATCATTTTCAATGTTCCAGCAGATTCCTTCTGTCACAGGTAGTTCAGACAATAGTTCGTTTTATGGGTATTGTAATGGCCAATTCAACAAAAACAACTGAATCCTCTTAAATATGCCAAGTGTTCTAATTATTTTGGCCACCACTGTGAGTAAATATACATACACATACAATACATACATACATACATATATATATATATATATATATATACGGTAATAACAATTATTATTATTATTGCAGAAATGCTTTATCACAGGTTGAGAAATGGTTCATAGTCTGATTCCCGTTGCAGTGTTTTTCAGCTTATTTAACACTGATATTCTGGTTTAGGGCAGTGGTCCTCAATCCTGGAAGACCCCAGCACTGCAACTTATGATATAAATCGGGTATATTCAACAAAGGCTCAAAAATGTCCAGGATTGAGCACCAATGTTTTAGGGCTGTATCATGAACACATCTTTGGTGCAGTGACTAACAATGAATTAACACAGATCTATTACTGGTTTAACACTGATTCTCTGGATGGTTTAGGGCTGTATCATAGACAGCTCTCTGGTGCAGTGACTACACTCATCTGCTGTGTGTCATGGCCTGACTGGGCTTTTGCCTTCCCTTACTCCCGCTCTGACTTAATATCACACATCTGACTCTCAATATCAAACACGAGCACCCATCCAAACGATTAACCAGCTCTAATAAAGAGAAGGCGATCTCTGTGTCGTTTAAAAGCGATGTAAGCAGTCATTTGACAGGTATTCCGACACTCCCTGCGAGCCTCGGGTTAACTGTTAGCTCGTTAGCATGATCAACATCTTACCGTTCTGCGGAGCATCCAGATCACACACAACCGTAACAGGGTTTGCTCCTCCTCGTCCCTCCACGAACCTCCAGTCAATATAACGCTCCGCAGCCTGATTGTGAGGGTTTGGGGCAGTTGTGTGCGTGTCCAGTCTTCCGGCGCTCGACGGGGGAAGTTCCTGCCACTGACAGTCCTATTCCACCAGCACGAGCTCAAATCACAGAGTGGCGCAGAGACAATAGTCTCATAATCACACAGTCATAATGTGCGACGGCGAAAACACTGAGGTCTCAGCTCAGACGCATCTGTCTGGAGCTGCACTCAGTGAAAATGGCGTTGTGTTTCTCCAAGCAGGTTCCCTCCTCCTCATTATGATGTCATCCCAGGATTAAAGGAGAGCGATATTGTTTGACATTCTACTCTGTATATGTATGTGTATATATGTGTGTGTGTGTATATACAGTATATATATATATGGATAGTTCCCAGGGAACACACATACTGGTAAAAAATGTATAGCCTGAAATGCACTGTAAGTCGCTTTGGATAAAAGCGTCTGCTAAATGCATAAATTATTATGTTTTATATATATATATATATATATATATATATATACTGTATATATTAGCTGCATTAATTGTTTCTGTTAATTTTACTTTTTATTTAGTACATTTCATTAATAGCATTTGCCAGATCGAATCCATGTTGCAGTATTTTTAAGTTCTTTTCATTTATGTATGCAATATTAGTAATTATTAGATTACTCAAGCTTTTGATATTAGCTGAAATTATAATTTTTGTAAAATTTACTTTGAACCTTGTAGTTTTATTTAGTAAATGTCATAAACAAGGCATTTGCCAAATTTCCATTTTGTTTATGATGTTAATATTGAGCATCATACTGTTCTGAGTTTATATTTCCTCTCTGCCAACAAAAAGAGGTAAAAAAGCCAATGCAACAAGCTTTGTGTCACCATGCAATACACAAACAGAAAGCCGGTCTGGAACTGAGAGGAGTGGAGTTAGCCATAAGTGTAAGTGTTTTACATTTCCATACTCCAGACACACCCTGAGAAATTAAGAAACCCTATTTTGGCTTTTATTCACAATTTTGTTAATTATTAGCCTAATCTTAAATATTAATTATCTTAAACTGTATTTTATGTACCTCGATATGGCAGTTCATGGATTGTATGGTGCTTGTATATATTATCTGACTGATTTATACAAAATAATACAAAGTAGCAAATAATTTAGCTTTAAATTAAATAATTTATTTTAATATCCTGTTTTTATTTACCAAACATTTTCTAAAATCATGTTTGATTCGCAGAGACACACTTTTACTCTATCATCTTTTAGGTGTAAAACGAAGCGTTTGAGAGAGGCGGGGCATAGAGGACCTACAATAATGTACAGTATTTGAAAAATATTTTTGAACATTAAAGCATGTCAACATATTCTGTTACACCAAATACACAAAATAATGATCTTTAAAAAAGCATCATATGACCCCTTTAATAAAATGTTCAGTTTTGGGTGATCTATCGCTTTAAGACGTGCCTGTAGCGTTCTAAAGGCTTCTACAGAACCGCACATATTTCCACTCCACGTGTAGCTGCAGTAACTATCAGGTTTCGAAGGGTTATCAGACTGAGATTATAAAAATTAACAGCTTCTCCATGTGCTTTCACTTTCACATTGAGACAATACCAAATCAGCAGTGATTGATTTACAGTCTTTATTTGCATTTCATGTAGTTTTGCCTTCCTCTCGTCCAGTTCCCCTCGTCTATCCAGTCAGTGTCCTCCATGTGTTGTGCAGAGCTACTTTCGCCATCAGAAGTGTAATGGTGAAGTTCCGTCTATACCATTCCCTGATTAAAAAGATGATACGGAAGAAATAAATAACATGGTATTAACCCTGTAAAGCCTGACATATTTAAAAAGCCTTTTTTTTAATGGAAGAGTACATTAAGCCTTTACACAAAAGTTCGCAAGTGTTGAGTAACAGTATAACTGTTGAGTATCATATTTGATACATTAAGCTTTTATGGCTTATTTAATATGATATAGATTAATATGGAGCTCAAGGAGGATAAAAACACCTTAGTTTTATTCAGTGGCCAAAACCAAGCAAAATATGCAAGTTGCTGCAGTTGCTGATATTTATATGGCTAAAAAGCAAGATGCAATTCTGACAGCTTGTAGTGTAAATCAGTGAGATCTTTATAGCAGACTATTTACATAACATGCATATAAATATCATAAATGTTTTAGTAAGATGATATTTAAATGCTTGATCAAAGTTCTGTAGTTTTATTGTGGGGGTAAAACATATAATGCAATGTAATACAGTGATGATTGAGAGATTAACAAATAAACAAGTCTTTTACTTGTTAAAAGAAGCATGAATTATCAATCACATGGCAGAAGGCATGTAGAGGATTATATACAACAGGTTTTATTATATTATTGTATGTATTTGAGTATTTATCTCACCTGTTATAACTGGCATGTCTTGTAATGTTTTTGTCTAAAAAGTGTTTGTAAAATACTGCCATTTCCTCACTGCTTAAAGTCCTTTTCCTTCCTGGAACCATAATAAATGGCACATTATACAGAAGGCATGTCCCAAACAACTTTAAGATTCAATTATCAGGTCGATCAATAGGAGTTCTTCAATGATCATCGATTCTTACACATGTACATTTGGTTATGTGTGATAAATATACTGTAGGTTGTGTTCATATTTAGACAGCTCACCATCATCATCTCTCTCTGACAACCCTTTTGCTGACAGTTGTGATCTCACATATTCTTCCTTTTCCTGTTAGAAAATAAATAAATAAATGGAACAATATGAACTTGATGAGGTGAGTGGTGCTTGTCTGTGCAAAATTCGCCAGCATTGTTATGCGGTTGCTAAGAGTAAAAAAAAAAAGAAGCAGTATTTCTACTGCATATTAAACATATTCTGCAAGCATTTACGGGAAGAAACATTCACAACACAAAACTGCCCCCTAGTGGTGATATAATGGTAAAGGAAGAACTTCATGGAGGAGTTCAATAGTTACAGTAATCACTCAACATGTTAAATGTGTTTCCTGCATCAAACTGTGTGGTTTTTAAGCTTGCACCGTACAACTGTGGTTCACACCTTGCTAAATGTGAAGTTCTGGTTGGCCCAGAACTCATGGTTCCAGTCTTCAGTCTCCTGTCTCAGACGCCTCAACTTCCTTTCCTGTGGTGTCTCATTCTCTGGGATGTGATATATGATCGGCCTCAGGTTTGACAGTCTGTCTGGTGGACCGATCCAGTCATATTTTGATGTTGCTGCTGGACTGAATCCAGTCCTCTATAATAAAAGGATTAAAACAAGGCAGCATAAGAAATTTCCAAAAAACAAGAAACAACTATAAATCTGGTTAAAATTAGGCAACGTCAGGCAACTGCACCTACAGTAGTAACTATGTGTATTATTAAAATGATATATGAGCATTAAACATCAATAGGAATTAAGAAACCTGAAAGAAAATATATATGTGACCCTGGACCACAAAACCAGTCATAAGGGTACATTTTTTGAAATTGTGATTTATACTAAACTGTATAAATAAGCTTTCCATTGATGTATGGTATGAAAATCTGGAATCTGAGGGTGCAAAAAAAAATCTAAACATTGAAAAAAAAATCGCCTTTAAAGTTGTCCAAATTAAGTTCTTAGCAATGCATATTACTAATCAAAAATTAAGTTTTGCTATATTTATGGCAGGAAATGTACAAAATATTTTCATGGAACATGATCTTTACTTAATATCCTAATGATAAAATCTATAATTTTGACCAATACAATTTATTTTTTGGCTATTGCTACAAACATACCCGTGCTACTCCAAAGAGAAAGGAAAACTTGAAATCGCATCATATGACCCCTTTAAGACTGGTTTTGTGCTCCAGTGTATATGTAAGTTACATTTCTAAATAAAAAAGCAGTAATAATTACATTTAATTGGCTCATTTTTATGCGTGCCATAGTGCATATAAGTGTCAGATGTGTAGAAGAACAGTTACACTGCTGTTAATTTGACAGAGTTGGTGAACGACAAACCTCTGCTCGTTTAGCATGTTTTGGAGGTTGGCTTGCGCTTTGTCGATGACCTCGATAGGAACTCCTTAATGACAGAGGAGCGTGTGTGTAACACGGACGCAGAGACCTAAATATTAAATTGCTACCTGCTTTTACATTCATCGTTGATAAGTCATTGATTGCCTTGATCAGAATTAATAAGTACAATTTCTCCTGGCCTCAGTGACAGCATCTTCTCCTTCTTCTTCTGTTTTATGGCGGGTAACACCAATGTTAAGGTGCATTATCGCCACCTACTGTATTGGAGTGTGGACCAGCGTTTACCCTTCATAATGAGAGGACAAGAAAAAAAAACGGAGAAAAAAAACCTTCTTTACCTCAATAAAAATTTTCCCTCTAAATTCTCTAGTCCATAAGTAAATATATTTTTAAGGTTTATTTATTATTTTTAAGGTTTTATTCAGCATAGTATGCCCAACCCTTCAGTGACAGCATGAATCTTCAGTACAATTTTAACATGGTGGATGATTTTAAAATAAAAGTCCTTTCCCTCACTCATGCATCAGTACTTCCTACAAGAGAGGATATATATATAATTGTTTTCTGAGAAAAAAAGCAACATATCGCGTTCTGTAAAGAGTGCATTGTGTTTTATGTGAATTATATTTCCAACAAAAATACAGATTTTTGTAACTCTCTGGCGCGTTCTACATCATGTACTTCGGATTTAAATCAAACTGAACGACCAAAACATTCCATGAGTTACGAAACTATAAAACCAACAAGTTTGCACGTAAACGTTTATGTTTATATGGCAATATAATCTGCATTGTAGAACTTTTTTTTTGACTAACCCATTTATGTATGTATGTATGTGTGTGTGTGCTTGAAAAGAAACAAATGCTTTCAGTAAATATTTTTATATTGTTACATGAGAATTCCATTTTAAATAGTGTTTTTGAATATTTGAATTTAAATTCTATTTATTAAAGAATCCTGAAAATGTATCACTGTAAAAAAAAATATATGTCACAGCAAATCCGCATTTTTTTTTAATATATTTACATAACAAAAACAGTACCATTTCTTCTGTGATATCAATAAGGTTATTAGCAAATCCGCATATTAGAAAGATTTCTGAAAGATCCCGTGACACTGGAGTAATCATGCTGGAAATACATCATCACAGGAATAAATTAAAACTTTGTACAATTGCAATAACATTGCTGTTTTACTGTATTTTGGGTAAATATATGCAGCCTTGGTGAGCATATAAGAAGCTTCTTTCAAAAACATTTAAAAATCTTACTGACCCCAGTTTTTTTTGAATGATAGGGAGTAACGTTATATAATTTTGTTATATTCTCGCGCTAATTTAAAACGCCTGAAAACAATTTGACAACAACACATGACACGTGTTATTGGCGTTTAATGAATTCAAACTCTTCGTAACTCGTTTGTTCTCGCTTGGCCAGCTAGTTTATGTCATTAGACATGTATGCCCGGTGGTTGTAAACGAAAATTGCGTTGTGTTTAACCTGTAAACACAGACGCACCAATGGCTGCCCGCTGGTTATGCAGGTAGGATGGACAGCCCGTCAAACATCATGTTTAATAAGACATGTATTCATATGATGATGTGTTTAATTAATACAACGCCTCAACCTTGCACTGCTGTGAGCTCTTAATGAGAGCTGATCAATGTCTTTTGTGTGCTTTAAATGGACCTAATAGCAGCGAGCTAAACGCGGATTATTTTAAAAAGTCATTTGTGTCGTTTTAAACTGTTTCACGGAGCTCAGCTATTACGTGTACAGTTGACGTTGTTGTGCATAAAAGATGAAACCACTTTTGTGTTGTGGAAGGGAGTTCACTTTTGACTTTATCGCCTAAATGTGTTTATAAAAAAATACGAAGGGAGGGGAGCCAGTAGATTCCGTGCTGTATCGATATGCCGTGCCTCAGGTTACGGAGAGATGGTTTTATTTATTGATCAGGCAAATGTGGCCATGTTGAAGATGTTACAGTATGAGGGATCCCTCCTGGTGTGAGGAATGGTCTCCCCAGTGTGGTGTTTCGTTTGTGAACGAATCGCTGATTTTGAACGAGTCTTTTAAGTGAATCATTCTCGTTCACTTCTATACACCATCCATTGATATTTTTCGTTTACTGAAGTCTCTCCCTTTTGACTGCACTGCTATCTTTAGATATTGACTTTAGCACGTGCAAGTAGTGAGGAGGAATGCGAAGGAATATTTAATTGGTTGGATTTACCAGTGCCAATATCTTGGCAGAATGGAAATGTCTTTATATGTCTTATATATGTATATCTTTTTTTATCTGTTTTGTATTTTTATATGCCTATTTTCATATTCGACCTTTATACTCTTACAGTCAAGGAAGATAATGAAGTTTTGATATTCTGATTCTATGAGAATAGGGAAGTCCACACGTTATAAGCATAACAGAGGAAATATGTTGTTGGAATCACATTTAGAACATTTTTTTCCAACTGATGAATCAACACTTAAAAAAACACTGACAGCCAATCAGAATCTAAAGCTAAAATTTAAATTTAAAACTAAAATATTTACAATATAGAAGCTAATTATCGTTTTTGGTGTCAACAGACCTATTGACACCAGGGACGATAAATATAACTTGACTATAAAGTTTTATTAATAATTCTATGAGAATATGGAATCCGTGGCATAGCTATAACGACAATGACAATGACGGAGGAACAATATTGTTGGAATCACTTTCAGAACAATTTTTTTTCCAGCTGATGAATGATAAAAACAAATATTCACAACCAATCAGAAGCCAAAATACAACATAACTGAAGTGTGTATTTAAAGCAAGAATGATAACTATAATGATATCAATATTATCGTCCACGCCAATGGATGATGATGTTCTTTTTATTGTAACCGTGTGCTGCAGTTATGTCATCTGCATAACTAGCCTGATACGAGTAGTATGCTATTCTGAATTCAGTCAATGTTTTAGTCTGAATGAGATTTGGAGTGACAATGATTGAAAGACAAACAAACACCAGGCTGATCAGCAGCTGAATGAACCAGAGAATGTTTGTTGATCTTGGCATGTGAATCCATCTCCTTCTCAAAACAGAATTATGAATGTGTAAAAAAATAACTAACTAGTGCTGTCAAACGATTAATAACGATTAATCTCTTATTTACATAATATATGTGCGTGTACTGTGTATATTTATGATGTATATACAAATACACACACATACAATATATATTTTGAAAATATTTACAAATGTTTGCATGTATATATTTATATTCTTATAATTTATATTATATATAAATATATTTAAAGCGGTAAATCTCCATCACGTGCGTGCTTTCACATTGAGCAGCATTAACTACACAGAGCCGTTGTTCACTGACGAGCTGCACAAAAAATAGCGCGAATATGAACGTGGTTTTGCGCAGCTGGTCAGTGAACAACGGCTCTGTGTAGTTAATGCTGCTCAATGTGAAAGCAGCACGTGATGGAGATTTACCGCTGATTACAGAACCGGCTTTTCTGACAAGATGCACGTTAAATATCGCATGCGATTTATCGTGCAGCCCTAGCGATTACCATTTTTTTTCTATAGCTTAATTAAAGGTCATGTCAGGCAGTTTAAATGGGGTAAAATGTAAGATATGCTTTGTTGTAATTTGTGAGAAAAAACACTTATGTTTTCTTAAAAGATTTGTAGGCAGGCAAAAATTAAAAAGGATAATAAATCTTATTTCAGTCATCAATGACTCAAAGTGAAAGATTCAATACCACACAAAATGACACTCACCCGGCGCCACCTACCGGCGTAACGATGTAACTGCATAAAGAGTCACTGAATGACTCATTTAGCGAACTGATTCACAAGAGTCACTGAGATGAATCACTAACAACTTTTATTTTGGATGCGATTAATCACGATTAATCGTTTGACAGCACTACTAATAACCATACACGATTAAAATAAATGTAATTCCTAATTTGTTTAGGCGAATACCACACAAAATGACACTCACCCGGCGCCACCTACCGGCGTAACGATGTAACTGCATAAAGAGTCACTGAATGACTCATTTAGCGAACTGATTCAAAAGAGTCACTGAGATGAATCACTAGCGCTTATAGTGGGAGGGAAGGGGAGGGGCAGGAATGCAGTCCATACCGATGTGATGCTGCTACTGCTGCTCTAAATGCCAGTCTCTGCCAGTGTCACTGCAAGTCCACGATCCAGAAATTACTGGAGTGTTGCACCGTGCAAAACATTTCAGCAGCGCAGCTGATGGAAACGGGGTCCGCTAGACATGTGCGCGAACGTTTTCGGCGCGTTGAAAAGGTGAGAAATATGCTGCGCATTTTAGGAAGAGGTGGTGAGATATGCTCGGGTTGTGTCGGATAAGGTTGGCTGGTGTTCAGAAGCAATAAAAATGTCCTTCTGCCATGGTTTCATTCATGTAAATCCAGGCACAGCGATGTCAGGTTACAGAAAGCACCACTGTGGTGAAGCATGTTCAGGTTTGTGTTATATTCTAACTCTGCTTTATTGATTTTATTGTTTATGTCACGGATGTAGCCATATATTCAGTAGACTACTGGGGGACGAACAAATGTAGTAATTTAAGAATCAGCCATTGCAAAACCCATACTGGGGGGTGGGGGGCATGTTACGTTCCTGGTTCATGTATCAGGGTACAGCTGTAAGACACTCTTCATGATGGCACATATGATGATGATGATGATGAGATGTGTTTTGCATTCAGCCTCCATGATCTCGCCGGTAACATCAGCATCAGAGCTGCTGTGGACAGTTCCAGAATCTCGACTCCCTCCCTAGTGTTGATGCTGAAGTTTGAAGAACCCTGCTATTAGTCTCAGTAACTGACATAGAAGTCTGGTCATTTTTATTGTAATAATTAAAGATAATGATCTTGTTCTGCCAGGACATTATCCATTAATTTAACAGACATTTAATTTAACTTTAAAACACAACATGGGTAAAACACCTGTGAAAAATCAATACAGAATCAATGCCTTCATATTACATTATGAAGGTACAAATAGTACACAGTACATTAGGTCATATTTTTATGGATTTTCCGTAGTGTAGTTTGTTTATTATTTGTTATATTAATGTTTATTGCATAATTTTAGTGCCACGTGTGTTGCCCTGTTGGTTGTCACAGTATTTTTACTGTGAATTTCTGGCATGCACAGCTGACAGTTCATAGCCTAAATTTAACTATGTTTTTTACAGTATACTTTAAGAAAAAATTTAATACATCATGATCATTGTGATGATGAGACATTGCTTTTAGTCTCCATGAACAGAGAACTGTTTTAGTTAGTCTAGTAGTCTAGTTACTTTAGACCTCCATCAGTTTCAGTAGGGCGTAATTGTGAATAATCCAGAGATTTTTTTTTTTATATATTATTATTTTACAACAAAGCTGCGGGATAGAAGTACAGTTTGTTCAATCAATTGTTCTGTTGCTTAACATACAAACTGTTTAGCTGACAAAATGTGTTTCCGAAAAAACCCTTTAGCTGACAAAAGCTCCATTAAATAGTTTTGAAAGTTGTGAGTTGTGAAAATTATATGATCTAAACCTTTATACAGTTTTATCGGTGTTAAATTCAATAAGGTGCATTGGTAAGATAATATGTGTGCTATTTGGAATCAAGTCTGTATATCCACATTATTGGTTGTTTGTTGTGTAAAAGTGAATTTAGGGGTTTGTTTTGGAGTCAATGAAGTGGTTCATGAGCCTTATTGATGAGGGCTGTAAGGATACAGAAGGCAAGAAAATTAAAATAAAAAAATCCGTAAAATATGTTTTTTACTTCAATTTACATTTAAATACCGTAATTACATGAACTGATAATGTTAATATACCAACCTATTGAAGTACTGAAAACTGATTTGTACCTTTGTAATACACTGATAACCACCAAAAGCAGGTGGTCACAGTGTCATTCACACAAACACTAAACACCATCATGGTAACACATGAAACTGATATAATGCAATACACATTAATTTAACAGCATTATCTCAAACATACAACCCTTCTGTACAAAACTGATAAGAAAAAACTAAGAAACATAATTATTTCAACAAAAAAAGTCAAATTTGAAATAAACGGATGAGTTATAAAAAAATTCACCCCCCTCACAGTTGTCATGAAGGGCAAAATTAGCTATATAGACCAAAATAATTTTTGAACCAGGCTGTAAACATGTTTTTTTCTGACTCCCTTTTGCAGCCAGCCTCTAGCGGCCAGTTGACGAATTACAGTTTAAGTAACTTCCTTGTTGGCTTCACGAGAGAGAGCGGGAGGTTGCCGCTCGAATGTAACGCAGGGAATTCTGGGTTATTCACTGTAAATTATACGTTTTTCTTTTTCACTTCTAAAAACGGTATACTACCATAAAATTACATGTAATGTCCAATACAGTTTTTCAACGTATATATTAGGGCAACTTACCGTTAACCATTTAACAGGTTTTTACTGTAGCATTTTTACAGTCTTTTACTGTTAAATTCACAGCCATTTTTTTTACAGTATACTTATAGCCATTTTCTGTGATGAATGGTTGCAATATATTCATTGGGGACTATCCATAAAACTATTATCCCAGCCAGGCCATGTAAATTTGAGCTTTAGAAAATAATGGATTGACTCTGATGTGTCAGAATGCCATGAATGGTGAGAGAAGCAGTGATGTATTTAGCAGTGCCCACTGATAAGCTCTGGCATGGATGGCATGTTGGCTCTTTGGCTCAACCCAGATTTCATAGTCCAAAGTGTTTGTGCCCATATTTACTTTCGAGAAGTTGCAACCTATAATAAGAGCTCTTCGGTTGCTTAAATTACTGGATAGCGGAGAACGATAAAGGAGGGGAGACAGGAAGCTGGGTAGCAGGTGGAGCATCTGGACAGATGATGTTCTGACTCATCCTTATCTGACCCTTCCCTCCCCTCCTACAATCACAGCATGAATTCACACTAACGTCGTACTGTTGCTCAACTGTGGGAGCAGAAATTCAACAAGCTAGGTGAACTGTTCACAAGTTCTCATAAGTGAACCTTGGTGTTTCTTGGGAGTATTCTTATTTGAGATTTTTGAACACAACAGTAATATCTAACTGGGTTTGTTGTAGATTGGAGCCTTTTTTTGGACATGTTTACTTATATATGGCTGCTGTAATCATTTTATTTGACACTGCCATGAGTTTTCTTCTCGACAACTTTCTAGCTGTTTATTATATAAAAGGATAAAGCACCCAAGGCGTACTTTTGGAGGAAAAAAGCTATCAAGAACAAGCGTGACATCTTTGATCCTGAGGTATACAAGGACTGCATTCTCACTGCACAGTTGTAAATGTATTGTGCATTAAAGTAATATTCAGGAATAAATGCAGTTTAATATTTCACAAGCATCTGCGGCATACTCTCAATTACCACAGAAAATTATTTTGACTCATGCCTCAGTTTGTAATGCGTGTACAGCTGGAACATTGTCTAAATTGTACTGCTGAGGTGAGAATAGTTTTGTATTTTTTATATTAAAAAAAAAATATATGTATATATTAGGGATGTAACGATTAACCGCGAGCCGGTTGAAAATCGATTTAAATATGTGACGATTCAAATCGGTTGAGATGCTAAACAAATCGCGATTCATTTAGGTGTAGGAGTTTATATGAATGTATGTCTGAGGGGAACTTACTGTCTTTAGAAAAGTTTAGATGGTATTTTTTCTTTTCATCTTGCCTCTGTATAATGCATATTAAAGTTCATAAGTGCAGCGCTGCTTTGTTTACAGCGGAAACCAGGAAAAGCTTTAAGCCCCACCTGCTGGCAGAGAGTGAATCTGCGTCTCATTCTGCTCGTCTGTTTCTGTTTCATGCAGATATTTTTTATGCATAATTAAACAAAACTGAAGTCAAACCATTGTTTTTGCTTCAAATTTCGAAATTATACTATGTAATTTAGATTAAAAACTGTACATGTTGCATGTATGCAGCATATTTGTTTGGATCAGGATTAAAATGCAGTGTTTTTTTTTTTTTTTTTTTCCTCCTTCCTCTTTTTGAACTTCTCATTATAGACATCCACTAAAAATTACCTGCTGGGTAAAGTAATTCAGGAAGAAGAAACATTTGTTTGTCACCACATGTTTGCCTGATGTTTTGTTATTTTGATTTAATACAATGAAATTCATTTTAAGTGTGTCTTTTAGAGATAATTCACTAAAAAATTAAAATGCTGTCATCATTTACTCAACCTCATGACATTCCAATCTCGTGTGAAGTAATTCTTCTGTGGAACATGATATTTTGAAGAATGTGGGCAACCTAACAGTTTCTAGTTCCCATTGACTCTCCATACTATGGAAGTCAATGGGAACCAGAAACTTGTTTTTGAGGCCACTGTATACGTGTAGTTGAAGCACACACTATGTCTGTGAACTTATATTTATTTATTTGATAACATTTGAATGTACATTACTGTTCAAAAGTTTGGGGTCAGTAAGTTATTCCAAAAACTGACAGTAAAGACATTTATAATTAATAATTTACTGTATTTTTGATTAAATAAAATACAGCCTTGGTAAGCATAAACGTTTTCTTTCAAAAACAAAAGCAAAACATTTTGAATGCTAGAGTTTGTTTAAAGAAACGATTGTATAATTTTAGGTGCTGCTATTTAGTTTTTTTGCCGTTTTAATCATCTTTCTGCTTTCACTAGTTCATTTAAATGGTCATGCAGTGTAAAAAATGAATTTTTCTCACAATATTCTATATAGTCTGCTATTATCAATTAGTATGAGCTCATAAATTCTACCTGCACAATAAAAGAATTGTTTAAAGTAGTTTTCCTGCCAGCTACCCATAAAAATCTTCTCTTTTACTTGTATTGAAATTCATCTACTGTATTGTCCCAACATCACACTATTTCCACATCCTGACCAGCTCTCACCTCTCTCTTCTCCTTCAGCCTGTTTAGGAAACCCTTTGATGGTGGGAAGAGGACGATGGATCATGGCAGTCAGCAGCCACAGACTCCGCAGATGCCAGGACCCTTCACAGGTTATGCGGGACCCCAGGGCCCGTACCCTGGGCAGCACCCAGCCCTGTTACGGCTGGACGAGGTGCAAAGGGAGATTGCCACCCTGGGCCCACAGGTGTGCTCTTACAGCGGCCTGCAGAGCGACAGAGAGTACAAACGACTGGAGCGAGAGCTGACCCGATTACTGCTGGAGGTCGATAAGGTCAGGACAGGCCATCCAACTTTTTAGTTCGGTATGAAGTCACACTAGTTTGTTCTTCTTAACCATGTTTTGTTTCCTGACCCAGGTGGAGACGGAGGGCCGGCCGGAGCTTCAGCAGGCTCGGAAGCGTGCGGCAGGAGAGGTGGAGGGTCTGCTTCGCTACCTGGAGGGCAACGCTACGCATCCGTCTCGGCTGGCCATTGGGGAGCTGACCCAGGAGGTGCAGAACTTGCTGAATGAAGGGGTTGTGGGGCCGTTCCGGCAGGGCCAGGCTCAAGATGCCTTTGAGATCAGTGAGGAGCTGGTGGAGGCTGTGCAGGACGTGGCCATGCGGCTGGCTCAGGTTAAGACGGGTGGCAGTGTCCCCCTAAGGAAGGCCCGTTACAAAGCGCTGACACGGGTCTGTGCCGTACAGGAATTACTGGAGGGTCGTGTCCGCACTCAAACGCTGGCGCTGCCGTTGTCCGATGACACGCATGAGGCTGTGCAGCGTATTAATCAAGTCATGGCGCAGGTGAGTGGTATTGCAAAAAAAAATATCACGAGAAATCACAATCCTGCATCTTAACCAGCAAATCACTGTTATTTATTTTACATGTGAAGATACAGCAGTTAAAAACAGACCTTTTTTATTTTAAAAGTCAGAGAGAGAGTAGAAAATAGCCATTAAAATGTTAATAGTGTGTTTTTTGTACAAAAACATAAGGAGAAAATACAATCAAAATTTACACTACCATTCAAAAGTTTGGGGTGAGTAAGATCTGAAGGATCTTGTGACACTGAAGACTGGAGTAATGATCCTGAAAATTCAGCTTTGCACCACAGGAATAAATTACATTTAAAAAAATTATTCAAATAGAGAACAGTTATTTTAAATTGTAATAATATTTCACAATTTTACTGCTTTTACTGTATTTATGATCAAATAAATGCAGCCTTAATGAGCATAAGAGACGTCTTTAAAAACATTAAAAAAAAACTTTCCTAGCCCACTTTTGAATGGCTGTGTATAGGGCTGGGCGATATGGCCAAAATATTATCATGATAATGTTTTTTCATATCAGTCGATATCGATAATTATCACGATAAATGTCAAATTTTTATTTCTTTCAAGTTTAAAGGCAGATTTTTGCTCCAATATGAAAGTTGTAAAAACAAGACAGTTCATTTTTTGTGGTCAGAACATGACACTTTTCCAGTCATTTTTCCTTAACAAAATAAATATCTTAATAGAAAAAAATAATTTCTTAGTTCTGCACGTTCTAATGAGTAATATTGTTTCAAATCAAGCAACAGGTTTGTACGGAGTCTTGCACATGGCATGCAGGAAAAAAATAGTAGGCTAAATCGTGCGCCACGATTTACTAATTCGTTCCCTCGATTTATAAATTGTGCACACGATTTAGCAAATCGAGGGAACTAATTAGTAAATCGAGGGAACGAAATAGTAATCGTGTGCACGTTTTAGTACATCGAGGGAACGAATTAGTAAATTGTGCGCACAATTTATTTTTTTCTTGCATGTCATGTGAAATCTCTGAGAAATACACATTTAATAGTAGCTTAAGTTAGGATGCAGATGTCGATCTATGTTTATTATCAAAATCAGTAATATCTGTAATTATTTTAGCAACCTAATTTTAATATAGTGAAATATAATTATTCTGACTGTTTGAGTTATTTTTTTTTTATTGACCACTGGTCTTCCATAGTAGCATACATTTAGATCATGATAATCACAGTTAAAACCACAA